CGAAAGCAAGGAGCCCAGCTCTGACAAGATCCGCACGCTGAAAATAATGGCATCGAGTATCTATTGACTGGCGGTTCGATGCCATGCATCGGCGACAGCATGTTCACCGCCCTGACGGACCAATTCGGCACCCAGGAGGGTAATGGTAAGTGTACGTCGCTGCGTGAGGACTTCGTGTGTGGTAGCGAATGACAAATAGACAGAATATCCAGGTTGCTCGAGGTCATACATATGGCGCTTGCTGTTTTGGTGAAACACCGAGAAACCGTCATTTCATCACTGTAATCGGGCTTGAAATCTACCCGACTTAGGCTGCTAAGCTCATCAGGTGCCACGAGCCCCATCAGGCCGTAGACGTGGTCGACAGGGTTATTGGCGTATGATGGACGGAACTCTTCGAGTAACTGCAAGAAGCTGGGGAGATCATAGCTGCCAACTTGCTGGTGCAAAGTACGGTACTCCATGATCTGAACCAAGGACCATGCTGCCGATATGTGTCCGCGGAACCTTGGATCAGGAGTAACAGCGGTGTATAAGACCAAACCTAGGAAGAGAAGATCGAGATCAAACACTGCATGACCGCATAGGAAGGTAACTTCAGATGCTAGACAAGCTTCCTATTCCACGTCTGGGAATTAGCTGATGTTCACCGCAGAAGTGCCAGAGTAGCAATTGATGGATGTCATATCGAGCGTCAGGGACACCGTGAGCCCACACACAAGAGCGCTGATAGTACAAGGAAAGAGATCAGATCCATACCTGAATAATCCAGACCCTACTCCACCACTCCCGGCACAGAATATTGCAAATCGTTGTTCGCCATGATCCTGAGACTGCCATGATCTCCAGGACCTTTTGTTGGAACCTTGGTCGCGTGGCAATGTAATTAGCGGTGGTGCGGAACAATTTGGGCATCTCTTCCAGTATCATTTCATTAAGAGCGGTATCCAAGGTAGTTGCACGCGGAGGTCCATGAGGACGGCTTTCCCAGGCTCTTTTCACGCTCTGCGCGGCAATCTTGATCAAGTCCCGCCTTCTCTCCCAAGTCGACTGTACCTCAACGTGCTTGCGCCAGAGTTTCTCAGGTTCCGTCGCGAGCATATCGAGGTGAAACACAAGACATGATTCTAGCGAAGGCACGAATTGATCCAACAACGCGAATTCTAGGCCATATGCATCCACGCCATATGCATCCACGTCGGATCTGAAAGGAGGAGCATAATTCTCCTCACCATCCAATCCTAGCCACACAACTGCGCGCGTCGCATTTCGGTATATATACCGCATTATGGCTACTTGTTGCCCTCGCTCCTCTTTTGAATTCTGATTGATGCATATTGCATCAATCCATAGCGTCCGCGGACGGTCTGGAAGCCGGAGCGCGGTGAGAGCATTTTTGAGATGCCCTAAAGCCAGAAAGTTGTAGCCATCACACTTAACAGAGAACTCGGGACCGTCCAGTTCACCCCAGGTGTAAGATAAGGCTTCGTAGTTAGGACATTTGTTAAGGGGATACGTCTTCAATTTTACTTCCAGATCTGTTGAGACTGGACCGTTTTCAATGTAGGTAAGCGGCGTCTTGGCGAATTTGCGCTCATGAGCTTCATGTTGTCCATCGTCGTTATTGGCATCACCTGAGTGACGACCTGGAGAGCTTGTCCTAAGGGGCCCAGGGAGAAGCGTCAACAACCGGAAGCAGGGCTCGTGTGGGTTGCTCAGCATATCCCTATAGATATTCTCATAGTCCGTCATAATAAGGCAATGTGACGCAGTGTATATAGAGGTTTCGAGTATGGGGAGATATAATTACGACCATGGGAACCATGTTGCTAGTCAGCAAGAGGCCAACTACTTGTAGCGGCTGGGGAGACTGAATCTAACCGCCCAGTCCGCGGTTAAAAGCCGTGATGGGAACACCGTCGAGGATACCTGCATGGCCGTGCAGCCTTGTCCAATGACAACCGCCAAGCAATGTTTCAAAGGCCAGGCTCGGCCACAATGGCACATAAGAATCGGCCAACACGCATGCTCGCATCGGCCCGCGATTGCGGTACAGGAGGACTTCCGTTCCATCTCACTAGAGCATGAGTGGGGACGATGAGATCCTTGCATGCACAGCGCGACAGGACCCCTGCAGTCTCGAGGATCCTGAAGTGGCTTGAGGTCAGATCTGCGCATTTCCAAATTGACACTACCACCTTATGGTCAGGCCTCTTATTCGTCCCAGAAGACCGTGCGATTCGATCTCTTCTATCGAGGTAGAGTAGGTCTCTCCTAATGTCGTAAATGACGTTCCCTAATCTAGCGCAGCATCATTACCGTCCACGGCCTTGGTGCCAATATGTAGTGTACTCCCCGTCCGACCTACCGACCAACCGCCCCCCAACACATAATTTTTATATACGCTACGCTACAACTTAGCGCTAATAGAACTCTCGCGTCTGTTACCAGGTCGGTGTTAGTCACATGTAGAATTCGAGATCATGGTAGTAAAGTATTAACCATTCTGCACTAAACTCAACTATCGCAAATTCAGTACGACTGGAAGATATCAAGTACATCTTTCGCTCGATACATGCTTATAACTCAGAAAGGACTGGCTTTGCTTCCATCCAGCATCCCATTCACTTCACAGTAAGACCACCGCCGTTGTTCCTGTTTCAGCCTCCACCGCGCCCCCAGCTTTTACAACGTCTGGTCACAGATGATAACCCCACTGATACCGGCATTTGCCGACCCGGAAGACGACAGCCAGCACGGCGAAGGGTCCCCGCTGCTCGTACAGATGGTCCTGCAGTTCAAGCCGTTATAGGTAGCAACACCATAGGCAGAGCACGTCTGAGTGACATCGCCGTTGCAAGTCACGACCTGGCCGTTGACGGTCGCGCCGCAGAGGTCGGCCGCCTGATAGGTGTCGAGACTCGAGGCATCATACTCCGGATTGGACCCGTCGGTGCCCACCTCGCCCCAGCCGTTATATTCAAGTTCGCCGCCGCCCCCCGCCCCTTCGATTTCCTTGTAGGCGATGCCTACGCATATGGCGGGGCTGACTGTATCGCGTGCGAGGACGGCTGCCAGCGAGAGCACTGGCAGGAAGCCGACAGTGATTTGAAGAACCTTCATGTTGATGGAGTGCCGTGGGATGATGTGTGTTTGAATGTTGGCAATGAGGACTGATAGCTGCGAAGTCTCTGGTGGCTAAGAGAATCCAGAGCGAAAGATCTTCTTCTTTTATATATAAAATCCTCATCAAAGTTGCGCCGCCCGCGCTGCTTTGAACCGCATTGACCAATTTCACAGCATCTGATGCCTGCTTTCTTAGACATCATCAACTGCTGAGCGGCACAGCCAGAGATGCTCTGCTAGTCAATGATATCCATGGCGGCACAGCCAGAGATGCTCTGCCTGTCAATGATGTCCATGGCGGGCACAGCCAGAGTTGCTCTGCCAGTCAATGATATCCATGGCGGCACGTCCAGCTCGCAGTACTTCGAGTCGATTGGGTTGTTGAACAAGAAGGAGCCATATGGAGAATGCCTGTGCCGTGTAGCATCACCAGCCGCATGAGGCAGGAGGAATGGCTGGTCGGCTGACGGATCTTCATGCGTACGAGGATATCGACCGTCGATGCGCAATCTTCGCTACCAGCTCGGTGTCCATCTCGGTGTCGTCGCTGCGATGGCTGAATGCAGCTCTGTGGACAGGTGCCTCTGTCCTCCAGGTTCCACCATTATCAGGCGTGAAGTATAGCGGTGTAAAGCTGTGAAAGGGCAGGATCACGTTGATCCCGGTCTCCTGACGTCTGGTGTCAAGAATCAAATCGCGACGCTTGTGGCCGCGTCTTTGGTGGGGATGTGTTTAATACAGCGCGAATAGGCGATGATCGCAAAATACTGTACTTCTTATGTTCTGTGAGAACCATCTAGATAGATTAGTAATCGACAATCCTACAGAACTTCTCGCAAAACACGTCTACAGTAATGGTCCGATGCAAGGTACTTCCACGTAGGCTCCTGTATGCACGGTTCCTGAGCGGCGTACGTCTCTTGGGGACGAAACTGTCAGATACGTAGGGTTGTGATTGGTTGATGTATTATTACGCAATTTCACACACCTACAGAGTTTGCAGGTCAGTAAGCTTGGCCGCTGGATCTGACACAAGGTACCTACTGTCACGCAACCTGGCTGACGTGAGGTAGCTGCTACGCCGCTTATACGTTATATACACGGTTCATGAAGACTCTCCTCCGTCTAATTGGTCCTCATACAGAGCAGATCTTCCAGATGTAGTCCCCGAAGCTTCCTAGCTTCTGACTCCTTTCGAACGTCCGTCAGACCCAATTGGTCCTTAACGTCGCAGATAGTATACCACTTGTGAAGAGTGGCGAGCTGGAGAGGGGTGTAAGCGAACGGGCAGCTGCCAAGATGACCCGTGCGCCGAAGCTTAAAAGGTACCACGCATACATTTTCGATTTTGCTTTTGATACCTAGGTTAGATCACAATAAATTGCCTACCCCAACCTTGAAGCACTGACCTCTCGGAAGGAGCGATTTGTGACAACTTGTAATTATCCATCAGTGCAGTTTGTCGGTTCAGGTGGGGTGAGGGCGGCTTACTCTATGCCCGGTGTTCTACAGTATATGAAATGTCATGATTATTTGACTTTCGATTATGTCCTCGAAGACAATAGTACGTTCGAAGAACCCAGTCAGAGAATTCTACATTTTCAGTCCGTCTCACTTATACTAGCCAGTCGAGGTTAAAAAATATGAAATGTGGTCTAGGCCATAGTTATGGTCTATGATTTCTTGCTGCAAGTTCAGGATAAAAATCGAGTCTTTGGCAATGCCGAGAACAATTGCTCCTTCGCCTAATAGAAAAAAGGCATCGGCAGATGGGCGAACAAGCTCATCCATGATCACAGATCCAACAACAACAAAAAAATAAAAATAAAAAAAAGGAATTTGATTCTATCAGTTGAAGACAATTAAAATCTTAATGATTAAGCCCGGGCTCGAACCGGGGACCTTCAGTGAACATATTTAAATGTGAGACTGACGTGATAACCAACTACACCACCCAACCTTGAGAATTTTAGTGGCTATCGATTAATTATATACATATCATACACTCGCTCTTCATGGTCAAAGGACATATCGGCCATATCATCAGCCAATCACCAGCCGGGGATGGCAGCGTACACGACATGCAGGCTTCTTTTGTTCGACGAGGATGTTATATCAATCCCGTGATGCGGCTGTTCAGATATTGCGGTCTTTCTGTCCTTTTCAGACTAATTTTTCCTCATTGTCAGTAACGTCCGACCATTGACTGTCGAAACTTGATCGCTTAGCGGAAATTTCAGTGTAGTGAAGCAGCCTCTCTCTATGCGGTTGAAATTATACAGAATTCCTTCCTTTAAGATGTCCGCTTGCAGTCTTATAAGAAAGTGCTCATATTTTGACTAGGTGAAGTGCTCTTACTATCTTGATCATGTTTCGCTAGTGAATTTACAAGGAATGCGTAATAGTGTCAGTGCTGCGGAGTGTGCCTCGGGGATTGGAGACGAAACACCGACGAGGATTGTGGGCTACGTAGATTTGTACGACACGAGTGACAATCATGACTCTTGACGGGTTGGTAGCTACTTATTAACAGAGACATCGCTCATCCTGAAGCCGTCAGGAGCTGTCTCATTGAAAGTTCAGGCGAGAGTATGGCACCAGACCAGGGGCCCTTGGAAATCACCTCGCTAACCAGATTTTTATCAGGCCTCAACATGAACACCCAGGCGAACTTCATACAATGGTGGTCAATTCAGTGCTCATTCCTGCGGCGCAAGATCGCCGATTGAGATCAGCAAGGTGAGCGCATAGCCTGGCACAGTCAGAAAGGCATTCTACATACTCTTGAATACATATATGTCTCATGACCCTAGTTAGATACTGATGATACTGTGGTACATGCTGTCTGAACAGTGGGGCGCGGGGAACTATACCTCTCCATGTCTCACATCCGAAAATGCTCACTAAACTTACACAGGTACTGTTACTCGGCCCGGGGAGTCGTTTTTAAAGTCTCGGTATTTGTGCATCCAGTATATACGTGAAAGCCTTCCACGATGGCCCCTCGAGTCCTCATCTTCGGTACTGGCAGCATCGGCGCAGTCTACACCTGGGTCGTCTCCCAAGCCATCCCAGCGTCTAACATCACAGCAATATGCCGCTCAAATTACGAGTCGGCGTCCAAGAACGGTCTCACGATACACTCAACTCATTGGGGTAATGACCTCAACGTCAGACCTAGAGTCACCAGGACCGTGTCGGAGGCTGTGGAGTCCAGCGCCGGCAAGCCGTTTGATTACATCCTGGTCTGCAGCAAGGCACTCCCCACGACGCCCTCGACGCCGGAGCTCATCCGGCCAGCCGTGTCGGAGAAGACGGCAATAGTGCTGATCCAGAACGGCATCGGGATCGAAGACGAGTACGCGGCGCTGTTCCCCCACAACCCTCTACTGAGCACGGTGGTGTACCTCCCCACCACGCAGATCGCACCCGGCGTCGTGCAGCACAAGGAGATCGAGCTGCTGCACGTCGGGACGTATCCCGCCAACGCACCGATCCCAGCCCAAGATGCGGCCAAGTCCTTCGTGGGCCTCCTCGCCGGCGCGGGCGCCACCGCAAAGCTGCATGCCGACATCCAGGAGCAACGGTGGACCAAACTCCTCGTCAACGCCTCGTGGAACCCCGTGTGCGCTCTGACCCGCCTGCGGGACGCGCAGTTCCTGTCCGCTTCGAGCGCTGAATCTCTGTCCTTCATCCGGGACGTGATGCTGGAGATCGTGGCGGTGGCACAGGCGCATGGCTACGCCAACATCAACTCGGACCTCGTGGACTTCCAGATCGCGCGAGCGACGGCGCGCGAATTGCCCGGGGTCCAACCCTCCATGTTGGCGGATGCGCTGGCGGGAAAGGGGTTAGAGGTCGATGCCATCGTAGGGAATGTGGTTCGGATGGCAAGGGAGAAAGGGGTGCAGGCACCTTTATTGAGAACGGTGTGGGTGCTGGCGATGGGGCTGGATAGGGGTTTTGCATTGGCGCAGGAGGCCTGAGGTTGGCATACAGGTCTTTCAGCTGCGTCGTGTGATAGAGATAGAAAGAAAGTAATGCGGCGAGGAAACAGAAGCGAATCCGAGTAGTAGATTAACGTATACAAGGCTCCGTAATCATATGAAGCTTTTAGCGCAACGTCATTAAATACTTTACCTATACACATCCAAGCAGAGGCCCACCGCATCTCTCTAGGGGACCATTACTGGGTTGTGATGATGAATTGTGAGCGGCAGTGTTGGCAAGATCCATCCCCAGTGGAGGTAACAAACCAGGACTTTTGCAAGAAGAAGGTTGGGGCTCTTAGGCGAGAAGGGTAGCCCTGCAGGTGCTTCATCTTCCTTAGAATGTCGCTCAGAATATTGCGTGGTAGAGTGCAAATCAAACAGCTAGATCAGAGGCTCGATAGGAGCGATACCGAAGCTAATCAGAAGCTAGACGAGATCTGGAAAAAGTGTCGTAGGAAGCGGGTGCAGAATCTAGTCAGCATCTAGACAGGTATGAACAGAACCTGAAGAGAAGTCTAGGTAGATTGTAGGTAGATGCTTGTGTAATGGAAGTAGCTCCTATATATAATTTACGCGTAATCGATGTCATCAATTACCATAATGCTTCGAAGTTGTCTAGTTCCTACTCAAGTAACAGGAGATCAGACTGAGCCCGATCACCATGAACGTGCAGAAAAAGTTGGCATAACACCCTCGAAATACCGATTTAAGTTGCGGAGCCGACCAATGAGTAGACGGATAAGTCTTCGTTCGCCTGCAATGAGGGTCTTGATACATGACTTCCTCGAACATATGTACATACGTTGTATCTTACAAAGTTTTCCTAATACCATCAGAGGCGAAGCCAGCGACGTTGTCCTGTGTTCCATGAGAAAAAGAATCCCGTTCAGGCGCCTCTTTACTGTCTATACCCTTCTAACTCCTTCGCGCCCTGAGAGATATCGCGCACCCCATTAACGAAAGTTGCACAGTACCACCACCGTATTACCCATCTATATATCGGTGCCCTTTCTATCCCAATCATTCCTAGAGTCATATTACATCTCGAGAGACCTCTACTCCGCATCCAATGACCACCGTCAACCAGTACTTCCTAAATTCCACTCCGTACCTCCCATGTAGCGTCGTTGCTAGTATGATGCCCTAGGTCTGGGAGGAGGTTGGGTATGAGCTCCTGGCGTTAGAGCTGGCGTTGCGTCTTGTGTCCTAGTGCTATGCTTTCGGTGATCTCTAGCATCCATTGTTTTGCTGCGCTTCTAATTCATCCACGCTGGTTGCGTCTCAGATCTCCTAGCCCTAGGTTTCGGGGCCGACTTGTCAGACTCATTCTCGTCGCTAACGGGTTCCGTTATCGTCCGTCTCAGTGGCTCATTTCTGTCCAACCCAACCGCACTGCCAACACCAAACGAACGCTCGGTCTTGGCCATTGAGTGCGCGGGAAGAGGATACGCAGGCCCAGGATGTAAGAATTGCGCCAGCACATTCCTCCGGTCCACGCTGCGGCTACGGCCTCGAGCCAAGCTCGCAGGGCGGGCACCGGGAGCAAGCGAAACAGCGGACTGACGACGCTGCAGTCTTTGCTCGGCGTCCTCAGCCTCCTTACGGTTGAGGGACTCGCTTGGGAGCAGGATAGCTCGATCCAGCCCGTAGGGCAAACCACGATGACGGCCACGGATCATCATAGCGATCACGACAAGCTTGCCCACGACGGTGAATTGGGAGCAGAGCGAAGCGTTGATGCCCGTATAACCCAGACTGAGCCCCACCGTTCCATAAGCACTGACAATTTCGAAGAGCACAGCAAACATCGAAAAGTCACCCGACGTGAGACGTGGTCCCTCGGAGATTGTCAGGATGAAGTAACCGATGAAGATATACCACAAATCAAAAGACAGCTGTCGACGTAAATGGGCCCCGACGTACGAGAACTGGTTCTCATTAGCTTCCTCGTCCTCGTTCTTGGAGCCGTACAGGCCGAGTGCCCTTTCTTCGTAGACATTGGTCCGTCGGACTGAGATAGCGATGGGGAAGACGGAGATATACATCATGATGAGGTAGGACGTCTGGACGGCGGGATGGAGTGCAGACAAGTTAACGACCGAGAAGCCGGCGGTTCTTGTAGATGCAGCCTGGAACCACCCATCGAGGAAGCGGATGCCAAGTGGTAACTGAGCCACTGCGCCTTCTCCGAGATCGAGGACGATGAAGAACAACAGGTCGACCGCATTGAGGATCACCAAGATAAAGAAGAGCCACCAAGTCGCAGTCGAAGGAAAGAGTAATGTGAAGCATCGTCGGGGATGATCTAACAGAAAACGCAATTCTTCCCATAGGCCTGACCCTCGAGGGACAAACAGCTGAGCGAACCAGATGCAGAAACGCAGCATGATGGGGAAGGCCGTGTTCCCAATAATGATGAGAAACGTCATGACTAGAAGTGGGAATGTGGCCGTATTGAACGAGTTCATGCTGTCAGCGGTCAAGGTAAACCCAAGATCCATGAATGCCGAATTCGAAGTGAAGAATCCCCACCAAGTCCGACTTTGCCCTGCATTGTCGACAATGCTACCGTAGAAGTCATTGTTGACCAAGATCCACGGTAAGAGGCACACGATTCCAAATATCCAGAATCCCCAGAAATAGACCGTCGTGACAACAGCAAGGGTCTTCAAAGACCGATACTCGATGCCACCGAGTTCCTCCCTCTGTTCCTCGGACAAACCCAAGAACTCTGAATTCCGACCAAGAGTCGGCTGCCAGCTCAGATAAGGCATTGGATCACTGTGTTTGTGATGTGATAGCGCAGTTTTGATTCGTTGCAGAGGGTTTAGGTGCGCATCGTCATTGGTATTGGTATTGATGTTGGAATGATGGACCTTCTCCCCGCTGGCCCGAGGCTTGTGGATCTTCAAAGCAGACAAAGTATTAGTTGCCGCGTGGAGATCCTCGATCACCTCGGTCCTCTTCG